GAAGTGGTTTTCGTCCAATATTCTGAAACGAAAAGTCCAACGTATACGTGCACATTTTGTATTTTCACGTATTAAATACGTATGCATACGTAGGCTTACATTTCTGTCAACGCCGGCAAACGTGGTAGCTTCAACGCGGACGTAGTTAACATGTTTTTACTAAGATTTCTACTTGTAAATGAAAAAAGAGCAGATTACCACATATTATAAATCAACATCAGTGATCATGGACGATGCAACTTACTAATGACTACATTGGCGATCGTTAACAGCGATTCTTGTAAATAATTAAAAAAAACCCGTATCGTGACATGGAAAATTAATTCTTTTCGAAAGGAGCGACACTGATAAATTTTCACAATCAACTGTATCTTTGTTACAATTTATTTCAATCTGATTGCACAGGATTTGCATGTTAGTCGTCTTTCATTCAAGCTATCGCGAAATTACCGCACGCATTAAGGAAGCAATCTACAAACGGATCTACATTTTTGTAATGATGCGCTCTAGACTGACGCGCTGATTACATACACAGTAAATAATAAGCGTGCTTATCGTACGTAGATTAGATTACTCGGAAATTAGTGGCTAATTCCAAGTTTTATTTTACATGAATCACATACCTCTGAAATTTATGAACAATACTGGCCGTGCAAGTAGAGCAGAATATTTCAAATAATAATGTTAAATAAATACATGTAGCATTTAAAATAGAAAACAACGTTAAACAATCCTGATTAGAAAGCAAGTATGTATGTTGCGGTAAATGATGGAAAGTTAACAGATCGAGATCACCCATAATTTTTTTGTCATTTAACATAGTAGAATAACGTAAGGTAACTTCTATGCTGAGATAATTTACATCAAGTACGCAGCAGTACTGTTTTCCAAGTCAGAAAAATCTGCCGTCGTAATTTTATTTTGATCCAGTAGCAGAGTTTCTAATTTATTCAGTCCCGTTAGATGCCCCGGTAGTATTTCGCTGAGGCTATTATTTGTGAGAATTCTGTGCACATAAACGAGTTTCGTTATACGCAAATACGATTTCAAAGTGTTATGAATTACTTAATTTAAGAGGCGTACTTACAACCAAAACAACCTAGACTGATGGAGAAAAACCCCCTTTTCTAGCTTGACTATATCGTTATTATCGAGATATCTGAAATTATAGAAAATTGTAAGATTTCATGCGGGGTCTCGTAAAGTTTTTTTACATATCCTGCATCCCGTGGCAAGGACAACTTACAACAAGCGTATCTCCGGATAACGCGATAACGCATCGCGAGATAAGTGTGTGAGCGAGTTGTCGGTTAGGAAACTGCAGAAGTCACGTTATAGTAATTAACAGTGTTCAGAGAAATAAATATCTAATTGATTAATCCACCCATAATTCTATTGAGCAAATCGAGTTGCTAATATTAGTTATTACCGAACGTGCAACATGTTTTGTTATATATTAGAGGAAAGTTCTCTATTACGAGATAGATTTCTAACATGAGATAGCAGGTTTTCAACACCCAATTCAATCGCAGATCCTTTTCGCAACGATTACACGATCTAACAATGAATTTTCCGCCAAGTAGATTTCGCTCCAAAGGCAATAAATTCATGGTGGAATCAACTGATGATGCCTTTTAATTCAGCAGAAACCCCTGCTATCCCATATTAGGATTATATTTCATAATAGGGGACTTTCCTTTATATATAAATATGGTGCCACAAAAGTAATATTTTTCTGTGAAGCGTACATTGCTGTTACGTTCGATGACAAGTTCTTGGGCACAGTGGTATAATTCGTACAAGTCGCACGACACGCGTAATAGGTACATTCAGCTGGAGCGTCAAACGTATCTGCGAAGAAAATAGAAATTTTTTAACAACTAAAGTATAACACATCTGTCGCGTGCTTTACGATATTACCGCAATTCTTGGAGTTTCCCCAATCTCTGTCTCTCATAAACCAATCCCAGTTTCCGTGCATGTCAACTGCGGAGCAAGTTTATCGATTAGAAACAAAATTATCTTTGGAAATCTAGAAATAGAAGGATCTTTCTTCTTTAAACGTAAAGTTACGATAAATGGAAGTTAGTGAATGCTGCTAAGACAAAATACACGTGTCGTTATCGAAATGCTTATAAAGTAATTAAAGATCAAGATAGTGAGATAATTGAATTTATACTACCGTGTCGGAAATCTAACACTGGAACAACCAAGTCTGTCAAAATAAAATATTCCAAAGTTCTTTTAAATTATAGAAATCATTAACGTCCCAGCGAGAAATGACTCGTCGATCGATGACATCGTTTCGACGAATTATTTCTTACCAAATTTGAGTAGAACTTAAAACCTGGCAGGACTTGTGACAATTAATATAAATTAGATTAGAAACACACAGCAATTTTCTGTGGATTCATCGTCGCTATGCGGACAATCCGGTACGCCATTGCACCAGCTACGTTGCGGCATGCACGTGGTGCTATTGAGACACAAGAAGGTACCGATGGGACATTTGTCTGAAATATGAAACATACGGAAAAATATGTCAGAGTTTACCGATACTTGCTTAATAAATTATGAGAAATATAACATACAATTGTAAGAATCGTTCTTTCGCGAAAATGTTTATCACATGTATGCAGACGATGGTTAACGTACTATCGTTTTCAGTGGAAACAATCTAATAATTCAACAGTCTCATGCATGGTTTGAAGGACGTATTTTTATCTTGTTAAAGAGGCACGTACGTGCCAAGGAACAGAAAATATACATAGTTAGCATGTTCGACGAGACAGTCGATTATATGACGGTTAAATCATGGTCAAGTCTGTTACACCATGCAGAAAGGACGATATAATAATTGCAAACAATATTGCAAGTAAATTTTTATATAATAGAAGATGTGCATATAGAAGATTATTTCTTCTTTTATAATAGTTACGGTACATAAGTAAATGTGAGTGTCATTTCCAAACAAAAAAATAATTAGAAATTTCTCTTATATTCTCAGGTTATTATAAAATCGGTCAGTATTATAAAATTTTCATAAAACTTTTTCGAAGTTATTAATTTTGATTAAAATATTTCACAAATGTAAACAGTAGAGTCACAATATTATTGTTAGAAAATTCTTTGGAACAGCAAAAATTAATGATGAAATCTGCTGAAGATAAATCTGTCTAACTGTAAGAATCTATATAAAAATGATTGAATACATACCTTGATTGAAGTAGTACATTAATCCAGAAAGCAGGCAGAGCGTTGCAATCAGTGATGCACCGACGATAACGATATGTTTGTATTTCATAATTTTTAAATGTATTTGCCACCTTTATTTATGCAATAAATAAGTTTAATTTTTTAAAAATAAAATTGGAATCTTAAAGTTTTTATTGGAATTTTACAAGACGAAGGATAAATAATTCTTGTATTCGAATCGTCTATGCTGGATCATTATGCGAATTTTTATGTGCACTGTGTAACTGGCTTGCACTCAGGACACTAACTGACACTAGTTGCATCCGTTCGTGATGCAAGCTCCAATGTATTGCACACGTGCTCTTCGTTGACCTTGGAGGAGTTTTGCTCTGCGATATATTTCTTCCAATCTTCCGACCAGCATTCTCTCTCTTGCCCGCAAGCGTAGTAACGTGCTTAAATAAGACTTACTACGGAGGCTATAGAATTTTAAATTTCTTGTAGGTTTATATTACAAAAGTCGCAACTTATTATATAGAATAACATAAAATAAAGGACGATGGGTAAAATGGACCGATTTTTATAATTCGCTGAGGCTAATTTCATATTATTGGCCTATTTTCCGAGAATATTTGTAAAATAATTTTATATGTTGGACTTTCTTGTATCTTGTGGCAATTTCTCTTGAATTGATAATCGTAATAGTGCTGTTTTAATATTTACTAAAATACAATTTATATAAAGAAATTTCTCATACCCTTTTTGATCCAAATAAAAATTTTATGGAAAATAACTTATATATGTATGCGTATGTGCGTATGTGTACACGCACACACACACATTAAAAAAATTGTATTTGTATGTATTGTTACGCCCGTTAGACCATCTCCTCTTGCAATCCACGATTTGCGCGACAGTATACTTATTATTTATATATTATTATTAATTTGTATAGATAAATCTAAGTGTGTGTGGTACAGAAATAAAAAGAAGTAAGGCTTTAATTAAATTAGATTAACATATAAAGGGTATGTAGTATCTCTCGATTAGGAAAAATAAGGGAAGTGCTGAAGAAAAAATGCAATTAAAAAGATGTAGGCCTTATGTTTAATTCATATATTTGAAAATTCTCGACAATACGAGATAAATTTACAAAAATTTGATAGCACAATAATAAAGATAGAATAATACAAGACTCTCTTACAGTAATAAACTGTATAAGTATCTATGTCAAGATTTATGAATTTAGGGTATATTTGGTTTTACAAATATTATAAAAATGATAAAGTTTTATAAAATAATGCGTGATAATGTGTGCAAATGAAAATATTCACTATCACTATCGTTTTTTTCTATAATATAGGAAAGCATATAAGTACCAGTCATAATTTTTTAATTAAATGCTTGCTAGATTAAGAAAAATATTAATTACGTCAAGAAATAACTCATTAATTTCTATGTATTTGTGTATCAAATTTTTTCTCAAATTAAGCAAATAAACGAATAAATTTATTTAAATTCATTATTCTCTGAAAATGGATATTCAATGAACACTTAATCTATGTGTTTGTCTTTATCCATATACAAATTGTGTATGCCTTATATGTATTTATTTCTCTTTTAAGGATCGTCTACAATAGATGAAGTAAGCCTGGCGTAAGAAGTAAGAGTAGGAGTAAAGAAATTAATCATTTCCATTTCCTACTCCTACTTCAGCTCTGACAGCGCTTACTCTCGACGAATTAGAGCGTAGTTCGACCAGTGCTACAAATATTTTAAAAAATTATCTCTGTACTTTAGCTTTTACACTGAAAGGTAAAGGTTAGATTTTCTTACTTCTTACTGCTTACTTCCAATGTAGACGGTCCTTTAGAAAGAATAGATATTAAAGAGGTGTACAAATTATGTATCCTGGATGTACAATTTGCGTACTATTTTGGATTTTCTGTGTAACATTATTAGACACAAATTGTATATACCTTTTGTATACCCTGTGTATACGAAAATCAAAATACTATACAGATTAAATATTCATTTTAGTGTTATTTTGTCGTTTTTATAAATAACTTACAAAGGGAATGTGCACCCTTTGTCTCACCAATTTTGCTAATCGCGGTGTAAAATTTGGCGCGCTACGTTAACACTACCGCAGCGAGCTATCCGTCAAGCTTACGCGCAGCAAACTAGATGTCGAACTAGACATCTAGAGTGTTCTCGTCCCTGTCATAATTTCTTTTTCCTGTCACACAATACTTTTATTGTTACAAAGAAGAATATGTAGAATTCGAATACTGTGCATGAAATATGTCTTTTTATTGACATTAGCAACTTTAATTCACATTAGCAACTCGCAAAATGCCTTAAATATTTTGCAAGTTAAGATTACTGATGTGTTAATTTAAAAAATATACTTCACTCACAGTATTCAAACACCCACATCTTTTTCTTCGTAACGATAAAAGTATTGTGTGAAAAAAAGAAAAAATTATGACAGGAACGCGAACCCTCTAAATGTCTAGTTCGACATTTAGGCTGCGTTGCGATATTCACTGCCAATACTAAAAATCTATAGTCTACGTCACGTATACTATACAGTTTCAGTACTGGCAGTGAATAACGGGACGTAGTCTTCCTGTGAAAGTTTAACAAAATCGGTGGATAAAAGGTGAGTTCTTCCCTTGTTAGTGTACATACATTTTCAAAGAAAAAAATTCATCAAATTAGTTTAATACGTGATATAAACTTGAACTTTTCTGAAATGATACGATATTGTTGACTTTCTCAATTTTTTTTATCGGTCGACAACTCAGCAGCTTCTCCGGGTGTATTATCAGGCGAATTCTGTTCCGTTGACGCCGCCGTGGATGTCACATGAATCGACAATTTACGTCGAGAGTTTCCATGTATATTTTCCTGACAAATATTACGTACTAAATAGATTTTTAATCAACCATTTGGAAAACATTTTGCTCGAAAAATTATATGTCACAAAATATTATGTTAGTTTTTTACGATAAAAATTTTTGTTTCCGTTGAATGATACATTATGTATTTAAAGTAAAGTGGTTACCACATAAAAATCAAGAAATTCTTGCTGCGTTAATGTCTGTGTGACATACGCCTCAATTTTTGGACGACTAAAACAATATTGTTTGGTTCGAATCTCGTACCAGTAGACAGCGAACTCATCAGTTACTTTATTTGCTATCTTTGAACATAATGTTTCCTTGTGTTCCTCAAATTCCTCGTGCGGCATAGTAGATACGTGATTCTGAAATGCAATTATGGTGATGTTAACGATACCTTAACAGAGACATAGTTTTATGATATCACATTCTAAATGGAGGGATATGTTTATTTGATTATAATATTATAGATTATTGCACGATAAATTTAAGAAAAATGATCGAATCTACGCCGAGAAAAATTTTTATTGGCTAAACCAATTGAACAGTGTTTCCGATGGTTAATTTTTCCGATAAAATTATGTATATATCCGATGAAATGCAGTTACCGATGAAATTTGATCGAAAACCCAACTATATTTTTCATCGGATATACAAGTTAATCGAATATATCCGTTTGTTATTATGTAATTGAATTATCCGATTATATCTCATCGGATATTTTTCCCAGTGTACTTAATATCGTACATTCTTATTATATATAAATTTCCATGATTAAACTTACCAACATAGAATCTAGAAATGAATCAATTCGTTTTTCGACGTAGTGTGGTTGTTTGTCACTTTGTATTATAATTTGCAAACCTTGCATTCCAAACTGTTTGTTCGTTTGATGTACGCTACACTTTACTATATAACCTAACTGTTCATTAGTCCTTAAAATATTGTAGCAAGGTTCTGAAATTATCTGTTCTAAGAGCATTGTCAACAAACTCGACCTCGTTGACTCAAAACCAGTTGCATAATATACGATTGTACAAGTACTATTATGGCAATTATTTTCGATTTCAAATAGGAGGTGGCAACCTACAGTCATTTTATATCATTACACAATACTGTTACATACTACGTCATATAAAGAATGTTAAAAACTGGTATACTATGTTCGAAACGAATTATATTGCAAATAAAGTGGTATTAATGTTTTATTCAATTTTTATTTTATATAGAAATTATGTCTTACTCATTTACACATTTTTTTCTCTACCTCCATAATGATCCTAATATTAGTGTAAGATCATGAGGCGAAACAATAAAGTTTTAACGGTCACAACTATACCTCTTAATATAAATTGAAGTTCTCTAAGCATATTAATTTTTTAAAGTTATTATAAAGAAACTTTGATAATGCGCTTACCGTTTTCTAGTTTAATTTCACAATGCAATGGTAATTGCCTTGGTAACAAGGGTTCATCTGTGTCGGGTACTTGTATTTCAGTTTTCAAGTTAGATTTAATTAATTGAACTGTACTGTTAACTTCACTAACAGTCACGTTACCATATATATAGCACTGCACTTTCATACTACTGAATAGCTTTGGTACAAATCGCTGGAGGTTATCGATACTTACATCTATATATAACAGAAATTTTAATTGTATAGAAGTGCTTTCGTCCTTCTAAAGACTACAACAATTATTGAAACGAAATAAAAAATGATTCTGACCGAAACATATGTTAGCTTTCTTTTACACTTACAATCAATAAATTTTAATAATTCGTTCTCGTGCCAAAATTCCTTTGCTAACAGGACGTCAAGATAATACATTGCCTGTTCATAGGGTTGTTTATGAATAAAATTTTTCAAGTTCTCGGTATACTGTAAGTTATTTTATATTAACATGCTGCTTAGTAAATTGAAGAAATTGATTGCACTCGTTATACATACACATTCTTTTATGATCTGAAACCTGTTTGGATCAATATTCAAATTCGCCATTCGTTTTATGATTTGTTCCAATAACATATTTTGCTTTTCGTCATAGCCAGTGAGAGTGAGCTAAAAATCAAATAGTTTTCTTCTAAAAAAAACTTTATAGAACTATAACATAGAATTAATGACACTTGAATAAATGTTTATTTATAAAATATTTGATAAATGTTATTAAAACATTACAGAAATATAATTAGCCATATTTTCGAATAACAATAGTTACAAATGAGAGATAAAATTTCATTTCTAAATAAACAGTATTTTATGTGCACAAAGAAATTTGTGTTTAAACGTTTCTAATGTTAATAATAAATTAAAAAATATTTTATTCTAACAATATCTAAACCTATTTAAATAATATACAATTAGCGTGATATACATTACTGTTGTTATACTATGTGCACTCACTTTTATTCCATGTTGAGTATTAATAAGACTCCAGTTTAAATCAGCTAACTTAGCAGCGTATGTTTCTTCCTCAAGGGAATCCAAAAGTAGCAGAGTAAATATTTCAGTCAAATTATAATTAAGAGGATTCGCACAGATGATTGGACTATGAATTGAAAACAAATTAAACGTTCTATGTTGTTTTAAACTGTTTTAAAATTATTTATTCATAATTGAAGATGTATAATTATAAATGTAGGTTTATTTCTTACAGGCTAACGTGATTTTAAATACATGTAAGCCATTTATTATTTCAATTTTATTCAGTACGTATTAATGTCTAATCTTATTACTGTGATAATGATTTGAATTAATATGTTATTGTAATTTGTATAGATTGCCAGAATATCTCAAAATGCCATTAAAAAGTATCTCAATATTATACACATATTTTATTAGAACAACGATGTGTTTCCAACAAAGACATTTATTGCTTACCTAAGGAAGTTAAAAATCATCTTCGCTGTCGGATCTGGAAAATCATCATTTTTTTTATAAAACAAGTCAATTAAGCCTGACGGCTCCTCAATAAGAATAGGAAACCATTCTTCTTCTCCTATCAGAGGTGACGACCTATTCTATAAAATTTCACTTGATAATATTTTTGAAAACATGTATTGCATAAAATAATATCGAAATTTGTAGTGCAATAGGGCAAAGGAAAATTTCGTATGTAGAGATAAGTACATAAAATAATCTCTTCGTCACAATTTTTTTATTTGTATCAAAGCTACTTGTCTTTATTTCATGGAATTTAGTGTTTAAATACTAATGCATAACTTTTTTAAAAAATTAGCGCAAAAATTTACATTCAAAAAGTTCGCCATAATTATTACTATTATTACTATACTACACTATTATTATTATATAGAACAAAATTGAATTTATTGTAAGATACGTTAGCATTTGATTCTACTTCATATCAAGTTTCATGACATGGCTTATGCTTCCCGGAAATTTTATTGGTATCATTATGTTATACTTAATGTTAGCTAAAATTATAACTTTAATTGAATCAGTAAGTGCAAAAACCACATGAGTTTTAAAATGGCCGAAACTGACTTTATTGCGTAGTAGAGAAACAAGGCCGGTTCTGGATCAAGAGTGGTGGGGGGTCATAAATCATGTTTTTGTTAGAAAAAATTATTTAAACAACAAACCGGCCTTGTTTCTCTACTTTGCGTAAATGGCTTGTTCAGGATCGGCAAACCCATTTACTCAATTAAGTTAGTTTCAAAAATTTTCTCACCATTTGAAAGGTGTTTGTGTAGAAAGTGTCTAGCTTAGCGTCAAATTTAGTCGCAATAAATTCGTTCTTAGAAGGCAATTTCAAATCTGTGTTATAACCAGCTTGTTTCCACATATCCATTGTTTCTTTGGACATCTTCTTTTTCACATATTTAATTCTAAAATATTCTTCGGTTTCATTCGTTATACTTTCATACGCTTTTCCGATCATGTGAATCCTGATATTGTGCGGCGTCAGATATTCCATTATCTCCTCGATCAAGTCCGGTCGCCACTCAGTGAAACGATGTTCCGCGTGGAAGATGTCGTTCATGGGATGTTCCTGTAGCGCTCGGACTGCAGAAAGTATGTCGAGAGAATTTTCCTTGAAATGAATATTTGTATTTTCAATCTGTTTACATTCCTGCAAATAGAAAATCACATTAGTCCAGGCGTGACACATAATATGAAAATACAGAATGCCCGGCATATTGGGATATCATTATTTGCCAAGCATTCTAAGTTTATTTAAATTTTACTGCAACACTTACATCATAGATCCATTTGATCGGGCCTTCCAACTTCAGCATATTGATATATTGAAACGTTAGTTGAATAATATCTTCTATATGTGTAGCACCTTCTTCAGTTAGATCGATATTAATAATGTAAATACTCACTCTGCTTGCCATAAGGAATTCTTCAGATTTTATTTTGTGGCACCAATTCTTAGCTTTTAAAGCTGAGAATATTGAACCCTTACCTTTGTGTTGAAGTAAATGTGTAATGTAAGGGATAGCCTATGTTAATAACGAACAATACATATAAATATAAAATAATATATGAAAAAGGAAAAAGGAAAGAGAGAGGGGGGGGAGAGAGAGAGAGAGAGAGAGAGAGAGAGAGAGAGAGAGAGAGAATTTTGTAAGCGGGATACTTTTATAACTTTCATCTTTTATATGTATGTATATGTATATAAAATTTAAAAATACAACTAGATTTATACACATTATATGTGTTAATATGTATAATGATGTTTTAAAAAAACGTTCATATCAAGTATTAAAGCCGGAAAAAAGTGTATTTTATTACCGAGCAGTGGTGTTGTTGCTCGAGTTTAGGTAAAGGAAACATAATCTGTAATCTTCTGATTTCCTGTATGGGAACAATGTACCATATAGTGCCACAGTCTTCATCTTTGAATGGATTTTCAGACCATACATCAGGAATTTCAACATCCTTGTTTGTCACATCGGAAAAGAGATCTACTATCATGTTTTCGAGGTCATCTAAACTCTCTGAACAGAAGATTTATTCGTTGGTGTAACGTATAATAAATGTTATAAATGTGTAACAAAAATTATTATGCCTATATATGGCAATGGATTTAATTTTATTTAAAAAACAAGAAATGTATGGGATATTTTTCTTAGGATTATAAATAAATATTGCATGTTTTCTGCGGACCCTTTCTTAAAATATTGATTATAATTATATATTGGTTCACAGATGTATCTATTATAGAAAAGGATTAAAATTTTAGTAATTTGTGAAGATCGATATTTCCACGTATTTTCGTATATGTATGTATATAGTAATAAAGCTTTTTCCTTTTTTTTAGAATAAGATTTTGTGTAAATATTTCTTATAATAATAATAAAAAAATCAATTAATTTATTATTAATATTTCTTTGATTGTCATTTAATGCATATCCTAAAATTCAAGTATTTTCAGATGCAACAGTGTATATTATATACTATATAAGAAACATTTAGATGGTCTAATTATAAACAATCTTTGGTAAATTATCACCGTACCTTCACTAATAATAAGTAATGCCATACGACTTGCAGAATAATACTTTTTATGAAATTCCAATAGCCTATTTCTGACATGGACGCCTCTTTTCTTCGGTAGTATGTTTAATGTTTCTTTATTGCCTGAGTCGAATTTCGAATAAGGATGATCTGGTCTCAAAGATAATTGCAGCATTCGATATAATCGTTGGGTATCGTCCATTAAATGCATCTCATATTCTGAATGTATAGCATTTAGCTCAAGATTAATCGAATTTTCCGGGAAGAGAGGCGCTAAGAAAAGCTGTGCAAAACGATCTAAAGCGCCTGTTAACTTTTCCGGAGTTATTGTGAAGTAATATACGGTGTGATCTAAGTGTGTCTCTGCGTTGACTTTACCGCAGTTCTCCTTCACATATTTAGCATAATCATTCGACCGAGGATATTTGTTCGTTCCCAAAATTAACGCGTGCTCACAGAAATGTGCTAATCCAGGTAGATCGTCCGGATCATTCATAGAACCTAAAACTCAGTAAACCCCAATTACTATTGTAGTAACATAATTTATCAATATTACAATATTTAAAATTCGTTCATTTTCTACTGTATTCTTTACTTAACATTATAATTTCCTACTCACAATGTAATTATTGTATACGGCACGTTTAAAGTATTATATTACACTTATATTATTGAATGGAAAATTATAATACTGATATAATGTTACTTTTAGTTGGAGTTTACGGGGAAACTACTTCTTTTTTAGTAATATAATTTTTTAAATCTATAACTTGACAATCATTAATAGAAATATATTAACTTTTGATATCTTGCACTATCATAAGATATAACAAAATTTATATAGAAGAAAATGTATTAGTGATATTCACACTATAAAGCATTTAAAACGAGGAGAATTCATAAATGGTGCATGAAATTATTGAATTCGTATACAGCAAAAATATGACTTATTAAACAGAAGTTATAAAGATCTATAACGGTTAACATCTTAAAAAATATTAAATTAAGATTGATGAAAATGAAAAAATCAGTTGCCTTCTTTTATATTGTTTTCTTACGATACATGTATAACGTATAAATAGAAGATTTATTATAATAAAGTTGTAATAGAATTGTTAGAGAAATATCTTTATTCTTCATTTATAAGATATTCTAAGAATTCTTATAAGAATTGTTGAAAACATGAAGCAAGCATGTGTAAAATAAAAATAATATGTTTACCGATATTAATGTCCATTACAACGCCACTGTCGCTACATGATGGTTCACTTATCAAGAGAACTTTCATTTTATTGGCGAGTACTAAGCCCCTGCATGAGAAGTCATCGCTCTCTAATACTTTTATATCATTGTATCGCTTTTCCACACGTTTATCAGTTGACATGTCGATCATCGGAGCCACGGAAATATTATTTCTAAACATGAAAGAAATACGAATAGAAATTTTAAACAGGCATGAATTTGTTAATTTATTTTCTGTTGCACAATATTCTGACTCATACTTGAAAAATTGTAACTTTCCAGTATAAGTTGTACAAAAATCTTCCTAACATAGTTACCAAATATTTAATGGGAAATTAATAATCTCAAATATGAAATAAAGTACAGAGTGAAAACATGTTAAATATGTATTAATATGACAATATTGTATAAATATAAATTGTTATATGAACTATTATGAAGTAACAATGGTCTCTCTTTTGTAAAGTTGTCAATAGAAATTCTTCGCTCTATTTAAGTTTGCTATAAATCTCCATTCTTGGTCTAACAATGCAGGTATATAATAAAAATGTTGCAAACTTTATCTTTCACTTATTTTCTTATCTTTGGAATTAGACGTCTGATTTTCAGTTTTCGATTTTAGCTAAGTTTAACGTGGCAATCTTAGGGATTAAAGCACAATTCCATGTTTCGCATTGCAAGACTCACCAAATAGTTTATCCGAAGAAAGTGCTCTATTACTTCTTCAGAAATTGTAAGCGTTGTAACAAATTTTAACTTTCGTTCTTACTTTATGGCTCGAACGATGAGTTGGCGTCCACATTACTGTTTGTTCTTTGCCATCACACTGAAGATGACCTCATCACAGATTGAAACGTTCAACCCATTGTTTATATTTCTTTAAATTTATCCCTAACACTAACACCCAGAAAACATTTTCCGCGCAAACATCTAGCGTTATGACGACGCACTTGGATAGGATTTTGCTTGCGTTGTTCAGCCATTTTCACACGTGAGTCGTTAGATATTTGCGCGCAAAATTATACGTTAATACATGAGCTAACCAGTTGCGTGCGAAAGCACAGACTAAACATATCTTACGGGCAACACTCAGGCAAATCTCGTACAAGTTCGCATGAATAAGACAAATAAAATTTGCACGCAAGAGTTGTTATTTAGGCAATTAGCTCGGTTTATTATCCTATTATTTTCCTTTGTGAAATAATATATTAAAATAAGTAAGTTATTTTTCCATTATAATATATTAGATTATATTGTAGATTTTAATTAATAATAAAGATAATATTATAGATTTTAATAAATATAAACTCCATTGGTTCAAGTCACAATTTCCTTTGTTACGCTTTACGTGCACAGCAATGAAATTATAATTATTTCTTATCGCACTATGTCTAGTTATAATTATTTACACACGAGTGTGCATATGCGCGCAAATACATTTGCTCACGTCTATATACCAAGATATATGTATAATAAAGTAATAATTATTTTTCTATTAACAATTATTTAGAGATGTTGAGATTATCTTCGTCTTACCGGCTATATTAATCGTGTTGAAGTATGTCTTAATGTTCTGATGGAAAAGATATTAACTACTCTTATTGACAATGATGAGTGGGAACCAAAGGAAGAAGAGCTTTATATCGTAATTGCGACGAAGAAAGCAGGATTTATTACAACGTGGCATCAATATCATTCATTAAATCATCGGAAATATCATGCCTTTTCGTAGTTTTACGTAAGAGAACTGCAATTGCAATTTTGTCCAGTCGGTATACATATGATAAAAATTTAGAATTTGAAAGTCAACCCTTTTAATCTTTATTAAAAATGTTTTATCTAACTTTACTTAAAAGTGTTGTATTTAGAAGAACTTTGCACTTAAATTGCTATCTAGAAAACCAGAATTACTGTTAAATAAATTAAGTAATACCTTGTTTGTTCAGTATTGTCGCTAATTTCTATTAATATCTCGATCCTGTGCTAAATTTAAGATTATGGTTTAATATTATCCTACGGATAACGGAAAATTCTGTGGCTTCTTCGACAGGTTCCGGCAACTGTAGTCTTTTGTATGAACTGCTGGGATGAATCTGATATACCTGAAACGTACTTTTCTGTTATTTTGAGCGATTTTATCATTCAGAATGATCTTGTGCATTGGCGCGATATCTGGCAGTGTCTTGGTTTGCTTCATGTTGCAGTCATGGCTGTGACTGTTAATCTTGCGTCATCTGATGAGAAATGTTCAATGAAAACGATTTGAATTAGTTCACTCGAGTACAAAGTACCGAAAATCCATAATTATAAATTTTCAAAGCATTCGATTACGTTTTGTCGACTACATTAATTCGATAGTTCGTAATTGTTTAATAGATTATAAAGCGTCAAATGTACAAATTTTAATTCGTAACGTAATTAATGTAATTTCTAAGAGTTAGGGAAACGTTAAAAAAACATCATTTGATATTTTTTTTAGTTCATTTCTGAAGGCAAAAAAAAGATTCAAATTTTATGATATAATTTGACACAAAAAGGTGACAATATTTATAAAGGTGAGAATCTTTTCTTCGCCAGTGAATAGTTAATACAAAGGTAATGGTAAATTATTCGACGTATCCGGCAATATTTAATTTAATTTTAAGAATAAAACACACAACGTTTCGCCCGAGAATTCCGATCCTTTTCAAGTGAAAAGCGTCTTTATAATATTCTAAGTCACGCTTTTCACTTGAAAAGGACCGAAATTCTTCGAAAGTGTGTTTGATTCTTGAATAAAATATTGCCAGATTCGTCGAATAATGTTCCATTACCTTTGTACAAAAAAAGGTGATTTTATACACCATGTTTCAGAGTGCGGCTCTCGACTAGGCGTGTTCTTTTACAAAGTGGATACGAAATACCAATCGAGTACGTCTTCTAATGATATGCATTGCTCGATCGCGAAAGCCGTTATACTTAACGGCTGGAAAGGTTTACATCTTTTTCCTGGAAACGTTCGACACGGTAATTCCACCGATCTTCGCCAACGTTTCCAATAGGACAATTGTGGAACATCTGAAGCACGACCGCTCTTTGTGTTTCTGGCTCATTTAATTTACCTATAAATAAACTGCAAGGAGAATTAAGAGGCACGGTTGCAGCTGCGTTCCGTTGCAGATCATAAAGACATCCATGGCGTACCACAAGAACCACTGCGTAGTTCAATTTCAACTTGGGAATGAATTCTTAGCGATAAGATGCACAAAGCTCTTGTTTATCTATATATCTATCTCTCTACAATACATTGCTTGTAAGTTATTACATAAATCTTATCGAACTATAATTCTTTAATTAATCTAATTATAACGTGAAAACATACCCGTCGTATACAGTACAAGTTATGCAACTCTTACGACAACTCGACAATAATCGTTAAGGATTGACGAGGAGCTTCTGCAAGTCTGTCAAACGGGAGCTCAATGAAACGTCAAGGGTTAACTTGTACAATAAATGACTGCACGTAGACCATAATATATCGTACAGTGACAAGATCTGGGGCAGGATGTACTTACGAGAATAAGATCTGCCGATCGCGGCAAGACGGGACGACCACGTGTAATTTAAAACAATTCACCCACGTCGTTTCGTCTTAACGCGACCGACGTTCCGTTTTCTTTTTTTTGGCTGAAGGAGTTGAAAGAAAAATTTATTTCCGTTTATTTTTTTCAGGAGAGATACAGAGTGTACAATGTTCACAGGATACAAATTATCTATGCCCTTCCTCGTTTCTAATTTTTCTCGATTGTGCTATTGCCGGCTGTGGCCGCGCGACGGGATCGGTGATCGCTATCGCGCGTTCACGATCTATGCGCGGGTGATGCACACGTGGCCGGCGCATTCTGCCTCGGATTTTCGCGAGAATGCTCGGAAAACAAAATAATCGTTCGCGAGAGGGAACGGGAGATGGAGAGAGCGTATCTCGCGGACGCATCGACGCACATATAATTCGTTATGCTCGCGGAAGTGCATCGCGTATGAGAACGTACGATCGATGCACATACAAATCTAAGTTACCTTACAATGACTCGTTGAACGAGTTTTTGTCGAGAGCTGCGACTGCCGGCGTATAAATTTATACTTTCGGTACGGTATTTCGCGTAATTTCGCTAGTCGGACGTGTCAGTACTCTGTATTGGGAAAAAAACAATAAATAAAAAATAAAGGAGCTTCGACGCCGCGACACGAGATCCTAAAGCGCGATTTCGGTACAGCATGAGAACCGTATGAGAAAATCATGTGCATCGAGCCCGTGTTTCCCGCGACATAAATCCTCTCTGGCTTCGTACTTTTTTTCTCTCCTTCAGCGTATTTCCCGTTTCTATCTCGTGTTTCCTCTCCCTTCTTTTTTCTATATATAATAAAAGATAAGATTGCGGGTGAGAGACGTAGCGTTTCCCTTCCTGTTACCCCCTTGCCACGCTATCGAAATTGCAAGACGCCCACGTCGGCCCCACGATGGTGGTTTTCAGGAGAGGGAGAGGCTGTGTGTGTGTGTGACGCGGAGATTGAGAATGTGCTACAGACATGTCTAGCTATCTCCGAGATAGAAGAGACAGAGAGAGAAAGAGAGGAGAGAGAAAGAGGTACGAATCGGGCGCATGACAGCCTCGAATCAATAAGGGAGGTAAGATTTGGCGTACAAGGATAACATTGATGTTCACTGTTCGCGATCCTCGGCCTCCATTCGCCGACAGGTACCTCATCTTTCCGCTTATTGTTAGCGATCGCGATAACGGCCCCACGTTCTTATCGCACGCCTAAATTCACGTTTAAGCCGTGCCAAAAGTATAATACAAATCCCTGAAACCTTATAGAACTTATTATAGGAGATAGCGGTGATTAACGTTCTCAGGAATATACGGACGATTGGTCGGTGAGTTTAATGTATCGAGACAACGTGCGCTGTAATGGATGGCCGGGAAATTGGCGCGATCGAGAAGTCGACGGCACGGGGAAACTGATATGTGCTGTTAAACGTGACGAAAGAGATTTTCTGCGGCAGATCCGAGTGCCGTGGGCATTGATCAAGAATCCGTCTGGTGGCGCGGATTTCGGTTGCGCAAGGCTGAAATATTGTTGTGTGATGGAACCCCCCCCCCCCCCCCCGAGAGTGGTTGCGAGATAAAAGCGACAGAAGCTCTACCGTGGACAATGAGATTAGCAATAGTAAACTATCACAGTACGACACGCGGCACATAAGGGATGCGAGTGAACCGAAGAGATTTGTTCCGAAGGATTGTCATCATGAAGATAAATCATTATGAGATTCTTAACTGTCCTGTTGTTGTTCTTTTAATTACGTACGATGTAACGATAATGTTCGACATGGGTGATGAATGCGGGTGAAGAGAAACGGAAAGAATTTTGACAATTACTCAGTGAAATGGATATGCAATCAGTGTATTGTTGATGAAAGCGCTAGCATCTTTGTCACATCTTATTGCATGATGCCATTCGTGCGGGACGTGTGAATTCGCGAAGTTCTCGATTAATCGATATCATTTTCTAAGTAAAACAAAAAAAAACGTATTGCACCGTAATTAATATGCTCTGTGGGATTTAATTGCTCTACGCTAAAAGTACACATTTACATATCCCCGTAAATGGAAATTTGTTATAATCGTACTTACATTATAATACAATTACAACAAAATTATTGTACTATATTTTAATCGTATATATAGTGTAATACAAAAATTATAATTGTATTATATTTTAATCGTATATATAGTATAATACAATAATTATAATTGTATTATATTATAATACAATTGTATGCGCGCGCTTGTATGTGTATGTGCACGTAAATGTACATTCACACACACCTACATACCGTTAAACGCTAATGAATGGACAAAATGAATGAATATCCAGTTTATCGGGGACAATCAATGCGACATGTTCTTTTCGTCGCCAATTAGGGATCCTAAGTATATCAGCTGCATAAACTTAAAGAACTTTAGATTTTATATTTGTAAAAGAAGAAGGACGTCAATAACAACAGAAGATACGAATAAAATGTTTCTCTCAATATGGCGCGTAAAAATTCTGTTCGTTTAAATAATTGAGCTTCGCACAAAGCACATCTTGGATCTAGCAAAGTAAGATTAGGCGAGCAATTTAAGAAAATACAAAAGCTACACTTTATGCTTTGGTATGCAAAACAAAAGGACTTCGATACTTTAACGGCATGTCGATGAATGAACGAGTCTCGTAACACACTAAAATTATTTAACATAGTCACGAAGAATTTTTCTAGACAGATATTGATGGACAGACATAACGTAAATGAGGTATTTAATCATTATTGTACACGAGTATCAGAAAATACGTTATGCATACGTTTACGTATACTATAAAAAAAAATATATTAAGCGACTGCGAGAGGAGACTCTGCGACTGAAAAGGTTTGAAAACTCAGGTGACATTTTGAAGACAAATAAAAATAAACGAAATGATTACTTCACTTTAACGGAAAAGAAATCTGCCCGACTACATTTTGCACGAATCAAATAATTTCTAAATCACGATTAATTACTAAAAGTAAAATACGTGTAGGGAAATACCTCCCCTTTCAAGTAGAATATAGGAGGGCAATTACGAATGTCGTTTATCACGAAATAAACTCATGGCTATTCCACGGTACCGTGTGATAATAATTGACAATGAATTCGATTGAATGCATTTGTGCACACCGATATCTAAACGAATTCGCTGTAGACAATCTCATGATTAGTTATTTGAAGAGATAATCGCGTTGTTTTTTTTAATCATGTCACGTTAACGTCAATACATGTGGAAAGCGAGTGGGTTCATGATCGATCAAACCAACTGGCCTAGTCTTCCTTGTACAGTACCGTAATATACCTCAATCCCAGATTCACAAGCATGAAATCAGCGTAAATTCATGAAAAAGCGAAGAAATGAGTTAGCATTATTACTGCCTTGTTTTTTTAGTACATAGGAAAACGTATATATCCCGATCAATAAATAAAATGGCTCTCGACGAGACAAGCATTGAAAGAGCGAAACCTATCACCTCAGGCGCATGTACGAATATATACAAGTAACGGAATGATTCCTAATCACTGAACATAAAATCATGACACTTGCAAAGCATTGTAATCGAGATTTCCATGTTATACACACTTAAAATTCACTTAGTAGTCACCATTAAATTGTATATACTGCATTAGTAAAAATTTCAACGTAACAATCGAGTTGCTAACGGGTGTCGGTTATACGGGCGAGAGAAGTCTTATGTCTTCTCATATTTTTTTTCCAATGTTAATACGATTTAATTGCGTTTGAAATCTTTAACTTGCCGAATAGGACTCTGCAAGTACTTGATTTCTGCGTGCACTGCGTTATTCGCAAGTTTCGTTTACAAGTACCAAAGAATGAACATCAAATACCTTGTAGCATATGATTAGTGGACATGCCTTTAACACATGAATCGAGGACTGTAATAGAGGTGAGAAGGTAATCGGAATCAGGATCCAGGATCAGAGCCGTATATTGGGAGCGAGGGCAGTTAAACACCTGAACAAACTCACCAGTTGGTGACAGGTGGTTTCAATCATCCAAGTGTCAGCCCGTTTCTAAATCGTTAAAGCTACAACTTTGTTTCTGAGCAAAAACTAAAAGGCGGCTCCGTACGAAACTGTTTTACGCAACATAATCGTCAAGAAGATAGTCAATGGCCTATTTGGGATGTTTCATTTGCAAGTCTCTCTATTTCTTAGCTTCTTACAGCGACTGCTATCTACGTACATTGTAAGTGAAACATCCTCGGGCTTATGCCAGTGTCGGTGATCCTTGTAATGCAGTTACATTATCGATTGCATTACAGCTGTTTAGCAAAACGTGATGAAGCAAACCATCAGCGTCTTTCTTTACGTGTACAATGGTAAGCTCCAGGAGCAAATAATATTCTACTTTGCAACTTGCATGGAACACCTAATCCTTATAAATAATAGCAACATTAAGTATCGCGTAAATAATAGTTCATACTTGGTACAAACAGTGGAGAGCGTATTAAAACGCTAACAGCACAGTACTGTTTGCAAATCCCTAAGCAGGCAGATCACGGTACGTGACGCGTTATTACGAGTAATAAAGTATATCAGAGCTACTTACAACTAAATCGTACGCATATGCATTTTTAAAGCATATTCCGCGGTGCATTACAAAAATGCACTTTATATAAGAATATATTTTATATTTTGTTTTTTTTTTCTAACATGTGGAAACACTCGCAAATACGGAAATTTCCATACATGTGATTTTCTCGATCAAACTATTCCTGCTCGTCATGTAAATTATGTAAAATTATGTTACATCAAGTATTATCAAATCTTAAGTTCCTTGTTCCTTGTTTATCGATAAAAAAAAAAGAGCAATGTAAATGATATATACAAAAAGGAAATATAAAAAGAACGATCACTATTCTGTTTCCAAGCGAAATAGGGTTTTAACCTCTCCTTAATGGTAGCAAATTTCTAATATATCTCAAAACTATTACCCCACTGATATAAATGACATCACAGACACTGGCACAATCGCGTAAGCTTCCAGCGTAATTGTTCCCATTGACTGTCGATGTTCTTTTTTTTATAATACTATTAATTATAGTGTCTCACATAAACACATAAATTGTCGTCAATTGATTAATTCCACCCGAACAGCTTCCTCCATTGCGTGACGCTGTTTTGCTTTTACGAAACGAAGGACTTACAGTGGGCAGTGGATGGTTGCATGAGAAATGTTTACAGTCTAGATGATCCAGAGGAGCATCTGTGGATTGATGTGAGACAGTAATCCCACGATGATCATCAGGTGCACACGAATCCTTCCTGCGCTACTGTAGTTGCACCAGTAGGTCCTTCCTACACAACAGATACACATCAAGGAAGAATGTATCATGTTAATTGTCTCGTCAATATAATGTTAAGTTTATCTTAATGCATTCCCGTTCCTTGGAATATGTATTCGCAATTGCGATTGAGTGCCCTCATGAAAATAAAAACGCTATTTAATATTTATTTGCAGTGCCGCATTATAACCTTCTTTTTTTCTCAGTTCTGAAAATTCTTTTCTTTTTTCAGAATCGTGAAAGTAACTACTGCTACTGATAATACTTATATTTCTAACGCACCTAGAATACCGCATTAGGCAAGGGGAAAAATATCAAATAAAAAAAAAGCAGAAACTATTATCATGCGCCTATCCTTTTTATCTCTACCTAGCGAGATTAGAGGAATAGAAAAAAATGTTCGTGGCAAATGAAAATTTTTCACTTACTATGTTTCATTTTCACGTTTAATTACTTTACCCTGTTATAAAAATTATTATTTATTATATGTACAATGTCTTACGTCCTTATTAGTTGATATATTCGGTTTGTATTCATCCATACTGAAGCCAGAATTGCTGTCTTCTCCGCAAGATTGAACGACTAATGTTGTGTTCTCCGTCTAAACGGATTAAATAAGTTTAAGCGATGTATATAAATACAATGCGTTAACATTTACTTCCACGTCTAGACGAATTAAAAATATATCTTTTCCTTTCACTACATTTTATAGTATACGTACACCACTCACTTGCTCCTCTGCCTCATTGATACGCCGCTTCTTTCCACACGCATCGAGTGACTGATCCGACAATCTCTTCTTGCCGCTTGTATCGCCTTGATTCCGTGGCGATACGCTACCACCGTTTCCATTTCCAGCAATGTTGCCGTTCCTATGCACACCGCTAGAAACCTACAAAAATTATTGAGCGACAAGTGTAATTAGGATATCTTAAATAATCTTAAATTGCGATTAATTGAAGTAATAAAATAATTTGATTATAGATAACTGTTTAAATGTTCGCTAAGTTTGCTTTCATTATCTTGCACAATACATATGCAAACATTATGCAGTAGAACATAATGTTATTATGTTGTACTAATTGAATTTGTATGTTTTGTATACTTTTGTATAACATTGTATTGTATGAATACTCTGAATTTGTATAATTTAGTCAAATCTACCTGTATCCACAAAAGATTTGATATCATATGTGAGGTCAACGTTGATATTCTCGCTCTTTTCGCACTTAGCAACTAATTAATAATGTTAATATAAATTCAAGTTATAGTGCCTTACCTTCCTCTCCCTTTTTAGTAAACTCGGCGATACATAAGTATGCAAGTCCTTCCTTTTTACATGTTTAGCCTCAATCCACATTCCCTCTTTGAACATATTTATTTGTTCTGCCTGTCTCTCAACTGAAACAAATACTCGTATGATTATATGTCTTTAATTATATTCCGAATTTGTACAATTTAGTCAAATCTACCTGTATCCACAAAGGATTTGATATCATATGTGAGGTCAACATTGATATTCTCGCCCTTCTCGCTTTTTTCGCTCTTTTCGCACTTAGCAAAAGCCAGGCCGATGAACCACATAGAACACTGTTTGCCCGATTCGGGATTCAACGGTGGAAACGCTTCCGGATTAACGTGTGCCAAAGTAATATGAGGATTCCTCTCCAACATACCTGTGAGAATGGTTATAATTTTGCCAATTTGGCATCCGCGGATTATTAGTATATCACATTACATACATATAAAAAAAAAATAAAAGCATATCTATACAATTTCACCGTTATAAGACTCAGATTAAAGCAAAAGCTAATAATTGCTCCTTATTTTCCTGAAAAGTTATTACAATTTATTCTAACTCTTAATATTATTTTGCAACGTATTTCAAAATGACAAGATAAAACAAAAAAAAAGTAACGAGAAAGTAACAAATACAGAATGTTAAATAGTTACAATCTAATTGTTTTTCAGGAACCAATTTAAGTTTCAAAAATTAATGTCATGTTAATGTCTGTTGTTTCATGTAGTGCACTAAATTGAACAAGCATGTTTCAGTTTTTACAATACTTCAATACGTTAATTTGTATTCGCATGTTACGGGCGTTATGTAAAACTATCATGTAATGAGAAAAGAAGTATTTTCGTGGAAAGAGAAATAATATATGTTCTTTCTGTAAATGTATTGACATATTTGATCTGTTACCTATTAAGTGTCGTATTTTTGATTCGACAAGACCGCACCACTCAAGCTGATCCTCTGCACTCGAACTTTTGGCTAACAATACAATGTAATGCTTGTATTTGCCAAAAAAGTTTGGTGGCTCGAACAACTTATCCCACGTTGCTTTACCCATAATAATCTCCTCGGTTATGGCTAGCCCGTTTTCAAACGCCTCTTGCATGATGGTTCTGGTCGACACGGACACATTGAAGGTAGAATTTTGTTGAGGATATGCTGGTGTAATTATTGGCATCAGATGATATCTATCTGACACATTGACCTGAACAAATAAAATTGTTTAAGAACAATTATGTATTTTACATTTTAGCGCATATTATTATCTCGATACCAAGAATTATTTGAAATATTTATAAAATCAGGGATAGGAAAGTTACTTTGTAAAAGTAACTAGTTACAGTTACTCGTTACCAAGTAAAAGTAGTAGTTTTTTCTACTAACAAAGATATTAATAAAATCATTATTTTGAAATAAAATCATAAAAAATTTAAGGAAATAAATTTTAAAACGCTCAAAATGTAAATAAAAAATTTAGATTTCTATAAAAAGTATAGATATATAATAGCTAGTTTTTTTTATCGTGCTCTCAATTTCTCGCTCAAATTACTAACGCAATAATTCTAAATTTATCTTAAATATAACAATCGATAATAATAATAGATTATGAATATCGATCGATGCCTGAAGATTAAATGTAAGAAAATATAGTTATATTTTATAATTAAGTTCGAAATTTATAAGTACCGATAAAAGTAGCTGTTAAATTCGTTAGTTACTAAAAAGAAAATAACTACGTTACAGTTACAACAGACGAAAAGTAACGTCGTTACTTTCATACCCTGTATAAAATATAAAAGCTATAGTATATAGTCCCTTACTCTTGGATCCCAAACTGGATAACCCAAATTGACATTATCAGGTTGTTTTAAAAGTACTGGTTGTGGCCACTTCCATTGAGAGAATACAAGGAAGAATTTTTCTATCAGGGTTGCTGCTACAGCATTAGGGTAAAGCTGACACGTTCGAGCGACTAACATTGCCCAAGATACACCACCAAGGTAACCTAAGACATTGCTATATATACCATGTCCTAAAAATAACAAAAAAAAGATATTAGAACAAGCAAATTTTATGCACTGTGTGCAATTAGTTATTATAAAATCACAACTAATTGAAATATTGTATTATCTTACGTTTTGCCCATAATTTTATAGCTCTGAGAGCCAACCTGAAATTTTCTATATTAGGTACTAAACGCAATATCTCATCCGTTACTCTGCAACCATTAAGACTTCTGACGCACTTCTGATCGAGATTTTTCAGTAACATGTCATCCCTGAGATCCTACAGACATTTACAAAGATTTATTGTAGAACGTAAGACTGAGATTGAGTGAGAAACTTAGTTTTTATACAAGTATAACATACTAACCATTGAATCTGGAATTTCCTTAAGAGTTAACTTCGCAAATAGCATGTCAATTTCTATACCATCGAAGTTCATTTTTATAACTGGTACAAAGGCTTCCTCTACTGCCTACAATGTAATAAATTCATCAGCTCTGAAGTCAATATGTACTGGAGGCTACTGCATATACGTATAACATGATTTTTTTCACAAGCTATAACGAATCATGAATATTTTCCTCTAGAAAAATGCATTTTGCGTGGACAAACGTATAAATACTGTATAAATACTATACCGCACAACACACAAGAGCCTCTTTTGAAGCGATAAATATATTTAATAAGGCGTGCGGTAGAATTACATATATGCCATATATGCCAGAGTTACGTACCCTTAAATCCGTAACTTCCTCCTGCATTTTCAACAATTCGAAGAAGGACGTAAAATACTCCGACCTAAATATATGACGCGGTACAACGCACAGCGCGTCAATGTCGGCGCCTTTGTGATGTACACCTAACCTATACGAACCGAACGTGTATATTTTACCGCCCACTTGTTCGGCCACGTTAGGTGGCATGTTTCTAGCTATACTCGTGTCCCTTATCCACTGTTTGACCAGTGCGTTCAGTTTGCTGCAAGAATAAGCGGGTCCCAGCGGTTGGCACAGGTACTTTCATCGTCGGCGAGGTATCAACAACTGTCAACAATTATCGTCGGACGTACCTTAAAATCTCCATCCTATGATTCAACTCTTCCTCAGATTCGAAAACGTTGTAGGGTTTCAGGGCCTCCTTCAATTCGTTGGTTCTGGCAATGTCCATGGGCTTGGGTTCAGCCACGCTGATGGCCGACGTCATCCCCAGAGTGCGCAAATTGTTCTTCTCCGCTGACGCAGAGTTTGCGTTAGAATTGTTGTTACTCTGCGTCGGCCACATTTTGGATATCTCTCAATTAAGTATGCACCTGCAAACACAGACGCGTCAGTAATGCAGGTAACCCGCGCCCGTTCTCGCGTGCCTCCGGAACGATCTGGAAACGAATCTCGCGTGAGAAAACAACGTGCGTAAAATTGCAGCACGTAAGAGCGCGGGCCGTAAATAAACACGCGATCTTAACGTAGGGGCGATCTCCGCTTCAACGTCCCCGAGCGCTCGGTCCCTCGTGGACGATAACTAAACAATGGGCGCATCGCGATGCTGGGGGACCGCGCGAGACGGAATCGGGACAAAGAGCCGGACGGCACGAGGTGAGACGAGATTAGGCAGGCGCGCGCGCGCGCGCGCCAGAGTCTTACCGCTTGATAACTGCTTCGTCAAAGATGCAACAGCATGATAAATACGATGTACGGGACGAGGTACTTCGCTCGTGTTGTCAGGTTATAAAACGCACGGCACAAGTGCACGCGCCTCAGCGCGGCATAGCGTCGAGTCGCGCTGCGGTCGCTGACGAGGGGACGACGTTCGCGGCTTCCTGGCGGGGGCGAGGGGGGGAACCCGTGCTGTCCACGCGGACTACCGCACGACTTACGACGGCGCGGGCCTACCCGTGTACGGCCTCCGCGAAAACGGGGATCGCATTTAGTGCCGCGCGTGTCCCGTCTCACCCCCGGGTTACGCTCGCTCGCGTGCGCGGCTACAGCGACAGCGGGTCTCTCGCGCGCGCCTACGGGGCGGCCTCGGCGTTGACGCGCGGCTCCTCGTCGCGTCCAACGGCGCGGGTCTCCGTGCACTGCGTCGCGACGCTACGTAAATAAACGGCCGAGCGTTAGCGTACGCGGAAAAAAATAAGCGGAGGGCAACACGTATACCCGCGCACCCCGCGCCACGCACACCATCTACAACGCTGGGCTACAACAAAAACATGGCGGTAGCGCGGAGGAGAAGCCTGTGAGAGAGAGAGAGATCTGCCGCGGCCCGGTTTTACGTGATCGCCGAACGCGATGCCCTCTGTGGACATTGAAAACGTTGACATCAACTACGTAGCCAATGTTTGGGCTAAGCGGATAACGTAGTGTGCACGTTTTGGTTGTGTTCCGCGCTACGTGCGTCGC